TGGTATGTGAGAAATTATTTCTGATTTCATTTTTTCCAGATCCTCTTTTGTTGCCAGTTCAGGGAGTCCAGGTGGTTGAGTGTCAGAGTATTCCATCTCATTTCCCTTTGGGGTTGCTGTAGGTGATCTGGAAGCTTGGTTTTGAGACTTGTTTATGTGTCTTCTCATTTTAACGGGGGACGGTTGGCACAGGTTCAGGTGGGTGCTGTTGGCACCTGTGTAGCTCACCTTCTCTGTGCTGGGAACAGTGGAACTGCAGCCCGGAAGCCCCTACCTCTGGGTTGGGAGCGGTGGAATGGCGGCCCGGAAGCCCCTTCCTCCTGGCTGCAAGTGGTGGAATGGTGGTCCTGAAGCCCCTTCCTCTGGGCTGGGAGCAGTGGAATGGCAGCTTAGAAGCCCCTTCCTCCTGGCTGGGAGCGGTGAAATGGCCTGTAAATCAGTTGCTCTTGAGCATTTAACCAATTACAAATTTAGTTAAAGCCTTCTAACTATTTCCATGATTTATCAATATGACAGATTCTCTTAAATATTTAAAATGCCCTAACAACAAAACATAAAGTATCATGATTATTAAGCAAATTGCTTCCAGTCTATTTCAGCAGCCCCAAGCATGACTGATTCTCATGTGAGGGTATAACCTAGACCCTGGAGAGGAGTAAGGCCACCTCCTGGCCCCCGAGTGAGGACCAGTATCCTCAACAGGCCTCCCTGAGCCTCCAGCTTTTTAAGGACTAGGACAGTCTTTTATTTGTTCCTTTGTCTACAGATTTTTTAAATATCCCTTTTGAATGAGATCTTTATATTATCATTCCAATTAAGTTAAAATTTCAAATTTAAATGGAATTAGTATCAAAAAAGAAAATATATGAAAAATATTTTTAGACTAAAAAAAAAAGTTCTGAAATCTGGGGTGTAGGTTTTGGCCTCACTCCCTGCTCTCCTGTGCTTCTTCTTGCACTCACAGAGAGGAGAAGGAGGAGCCTGGAGCTGATCCCGCTTACTGCCCGCATGGTGATGGCACACCTGGTCAACCACCTGGGCCACTACCCGCTGGCTGGGGGCCCAGCTGTACTGCACAGCCTGGTCAGTGAGAACCACGACAACACCCACACTGAGGGTGCCGAACTGTCCCCCGATGTGTTCCGGAGCCCAAACCTGCAGCTCTTTGTATTTAATGACAGCACCCTCATCTCTTACCTGCAGATGCCTGCAGAGGGGATGGGTGGCACGTCCCCGGGGGATGCTGTCTCAGATGTTCGGGTCATTGTGCGAGATGTTTCAGGGAAGTACTCCTGGGATGGGAAGGTGCTCTATGGACCCTCGGAGGGCTGCCCAGCACCCAGTGGGTACAGTTCCACCTTTCAGATTCCCAGCTACCATTCTCAGAGTGTTGGGCCTCAGAAAGATCTTCCTCAGATTCAGGAAGGGGACGATGTGCTAGACAAGTTGCTGGAGAACATTGGCTACACAAGCCCCGAATGCCTCTTACCGTCTCAGCTAAAGCTAAATGAGCCTTCCCCACCCCCGTATGGAATGAACAGTGAGCAGGAGAAGGAAATTATCAAGGTTATCCTGTGCCAAAATGCACAGGAGGACGAGCATGTTCAGAGGTGTAATTCGGCCTCCACCATGAAGGTCACCAGCCAAGGGCAGCCCTCCCCAGTGGAGCCCCGAGGACCCTTCTATTTCTGCAGGCTGCTGCTCGATGACTTGGGAATGAACTCTTGGGACAGAAGGTAATGGTGCATGCTGGTCCTCCACTTATTTCATTCTTGTTTTTACTTGATTGTTCTCTACAGACTAGAAATGGAGTTTTTTTTTTCTGTGTCAGTATTTACAAGTTATTTCCATCTGCTAAATTAAAACTAGAAATGAAGCTAATTGTGCTGTCCTTTTGCACAGATTGAATTCTAATACCTATTGGATACTTTAAAGAATATCAAGCATTTTCTGGGTGTGTGTTTTACTTACTTCTCTGTCCATTATTATTTTGATTTTCATGCAAGATGCAAATGGACTGCAGAGTGAATTAGCCACAGTCTAACCTGAGGTCTCATGAGGGAGTTTGGGCATAATCCACGTGTGGTAAGAGACCAGGGTGCAGGATTTCAAGGGGAACAGCTCCATCCAATGGGAAGGCCAAGGCAGGAAAGAAGACCAGGTGTAAGAAGACTCAATAGTGGAGCAGAGGGAACAGAGACTTGCAGCAGAGCTAACAGAGGCACAAACATGTGCATACAGGCACACACTCATTGGCCACAGAGTCATCCAGGACACTGGGTAGCAGTGGGCTGTGGTGGAGTCTTGATTCTTTGCAGGTTGTAGGAGAATGGAGCTCCTTCTGAAGGTTTCTGTCATGCCTTCAATGAATGAAGTAGTAGGTGGATGGATGATGGGTTGTTTTGGAGAGTAACAGAATTGATCCATGATCATGTGACCCTTTTCTTTCATCCATTTTTCTTTCTAGGAAGAATTTTCATCTGTTGAAGAAAAATTCAAAATTATTGAGAGAGCTAAAAAATCTGGACTCCCGTCAGTGGTATGTGAAAATACATCAAACTGCTTTTGTCTGCTGTCTTCCTGTGCACACAGAGGCCAGATACAGCTGTAGGGATGAGCACGCCTGCAAAACACCAAGGGTGGTTCCAGACCTAGAATCTGGTTGCATTTACCTTGAAGGGATAGTACATGCTTGGTACCCTAAGAAGTGGGGGCCCCAAGAACCTCGGCTTGGGACTGAACACCTTTCTAGGTAGCAGCCAGTGGGCACTGATCCTCCTTCATTCTCTGCAGCACACTCTTTCACATGAAACCGTGGTGGCATTACTTGAAGCCTCATGAGATCACCTCTACAGTCCAGGCTGGCCACCATGTGCTGGTGTTCTGTAGTCCTGCTTAGAACACTGCAGAGGCTGAAAGCAGTGTGTGGGTGGTTAATAGCCCTCCACTAATCACCCTCATGCTCCAGAACTGTCAAGAGTATCAGGTCCACCCTTTCCTATACAGCACAGGAGCATTTCTAAAGATGCTCTCACAACACCGACAAGTTCATGATTTGAGAAAATGTGTGTTACCAGAACCAACCAAATGAAGAAAAAGGATAGACTCAATACATAACAGGTGCTCAGAAGTCTTAAAAAGAGAAAACTGCTTCCATAATCTTTACGTTTTAAAAAACACTTTTTAAAAAACAGCTTTGTTCCCTTTTCATTGCCCTTAGGAATATCCAAATATTCTTGTCCCTCAAAAAAGAAAAAGTTCAGGCTGTTTTGCTCAGGCCTATGTAAAATACTCTTCCCACTATATTTTATTCACTACATTTTTTTTTTTTTTACTCCTTTGTTGTCGTTGTGTTTTATTTTGTTTTTTAAGACAGGGTCTCACTATGTAGTTCAGGCTGGCCTTGAACTCACTATGCAGCCTAGGCTGGCCTCCAGTTCACAGTAATCATCTTGCCTCAGCCTCTCCAGTACTGGGACTATAGGTGTGCACATCATACCTGGCTCTTACTCCTTTCTTAACTCTTTAATTTTAAGATGTGTTTGAGCTTTATGTTTTTAAAGGGTAGTATGGAATCAAGGAGATAGGGAAATAATAGACCCCAGCTTTGGCCTGACAGGTTCTAAGTTGGCATTTAGGGATATTACTGGAACTCTTGACTTCATTCACCTAACCATGCCTTCATCCACTGTCCAGCTTCCATTTCAAGGCACCAGCTTCTCCTGCCTAGCACTTAAGGAATGAGTTATGACTTGCTAAGCAAGTGCCTTTATTGTGGTTTGGGTTTATTTTAGCATTCTGATCAAAACTCAGTGACAGATTCCTGAATTTCACTATCACGCAAATTCTTTCTTTTTCCCCATTAAGTTTATTGGTATATTTTAGGTATAAAATACAGTTGCATTCATCATTGGTATCTTGTACCATTACATGTGTATCTTTGTTCTCATTTTTTCCCCTTCCCCTGCCCTCCCTTCACCCCCTCCACCCTTCCATATTTGCAAAGACTTTGTTTCCATTTTTTTCCTTTTCTCATACTTTTTCTTTTTGCTTCTTTCCTTTCCCCTACCCCTCCCACTTCGGCTACTCCTTTAGACCTTTTCTTCCTAATACACAATATCAGTTATACATTTTTAAAATTACAATATCAAGGTCTAAGAGACATTACTACAGATTTTACAGAATTTAAAAGGATGTGGAAAGCATAGTAACAAAAATCTTTTTTGAAATAAATTTGATAACTTCTAAGTACCTTGGAAGACAAATTAATAAAACTAACTCTGGAGGAAATATAAAATTTGAATAGCACCTATTAAAGAAAGTATATTCCTAGCTTGAAAACCTACCTATATGAA